TTTGTAGCGTCGGAAACGTTTTTTCGAATCCGTGGTTAGCGTTAAGACGTGGCTTAAAGTCCTGGCTCGTCCCGTTGCTGTCCGTGGTGTGACTTGCGGCATGTGCGGGTCACCGGATCAGGCCGCGAAGACAGCTGGGGTGGCTAGGTGACTTGGTGACCATGTCAGACCGTGAGGAGGGCTGGGGTCGTGGCATGACCCGATGACCTGCGGCGTACCCGATGACCTGGGGATGACCCGATGACCTGCGGCGTAGGTCACCGAGTCAGACCGCGAGGAGGGCTGGGGTTGTGGCATGACCCGATGACCTGCGGCGTACACAGGTCACCGGGTCAGACCGCGAAGAGGGCTGGGGTCGTGGCGTGACCCGGTGACCTGCGGCGTGCACAGGTCACCGGGTCAGACCGCGAGAACAGGCTGGGGCCGTGGCGCGGACCCGCTCCGTAAAGATGGCTCGCAACACGCCTGACAAAAACCAGCCGGTGTGTGGATACTGAACGCTGAACAGGTCATCCCCCGAAGAGGACGCTGTTCCTAACACGAGCTCTCTCCGAGAGTGGGACTTCCTATATGGACGGACGGCAGCCGTGAGGCTGGTTTCCAATAACAGTACTAGTGTTTGGCAGTCAAATACGACGGTTTGTTCAGTGCCACCGTCTCAAGGCCAGGGCGTGATTTCCTTAAATGAAGAGGGCTGGGGCGGAACGGTAAAAAATGACGGAGCATATCCTTAAGTACACTAGTGCATTGTTTTCTATGGTTTCTCCACGGATTTGGCCCACTTCCTTCTCAAAGTTGGGGTGGGGAGGGGGCGGCCCGGAGCCCAAGTTGGGGGTTGAGGCCTTCCCAACTGAATAGGAAAGTACACGCCTGTCTTAACGTCAACCGAGCCGGTGTATTCATTTGATTCCAGCAGGGTACGTACCGATCCCAGCCGATGTAAGGCATCCGAGGTCTGCCTTCTCCATGATCATCTGTCTTCGTGACTATGGAGCCGTGACCTGGCTCGGTGTTGTGTTGACTCGCCCGCGTGTGGTCCGTGCACGTCGTCGCGGTCACCGCGTGCCCAAGTGTCCGCGTGCCACGTGCCACGTGCGGCATCACCACCCGTGGCGGTACCGCTCTCAGTGTGACTGCGCCATGCACAGGTGACCTGGTCAGTAGACGGGGGAGATGCCGGGCGGCTGGCTCCCGCTCCTCTGGTCCGCCCCACTGTCTTGTTTACTCGATGCGTGATCACGTACTCGGCCCTGTCGTGACCTTGGCGTCGTTAGCGCCGCGCCCGGCTGGCTGCAGCCTGGCAGCGCCGGCAGCACCGGCCCACCGGCGGGCCGCGGAACCTCCGCGCGCAGCCCGGAGAGGAGGCAGAGCCGCGATGATGGCAACAGCGCCCGTCACGCGGCCCGCGTGATGCGGAGCACGCACCGCCGTCACGCCCGCCGCGATGGAACACGCCACGCGCGGCACGTCACGGCGTCACGGTGGAGCGCGTTTTCTGAAAACAGCTTGATTCCAACCAATCGCACGGGATGCAGTTATGTTTTCTGTGTTCTGTTGCATTGATGCCAGCGAACAGCCTACTTATACCGTGGTAAATAGTGGTAATTATGCACGTTGCTGGAGAAGCCACAATGCCCACGTTGAGGGTGGCTTGGTTCCGGCTGATTTCATGCGCATAAGGTTCCGAATATATGAATCGCGCGGCGGGTTATGAACACAGTTCACAGCCTGACTAAAAGCAAGGCGTAAATCAGGTTGTTGGGGTGTTAAAAGAGTTATAGATCGTTGTGATGGCGAAATAAAGCCTCATCTGGGTCATATAGCCATAGAGCTCGTGCTGTCGCGAAAAGCGTGAGACGTGGCTTTGCCAAGCCATTGAGCTACTGATTATCATTCGAAATATCAGTTAAACATATATTATCATTACGTCACCATTCCGAGACACCACCGCCTCCCTCGGCCCACATGAACAGCCAATTTGCTGCAGTTAGCTAACGTAAATTAAGCGTGAGTTAAAGACGCTCTGCCAGTCGTCTTGCCGGCCTGTACACGCCTGCCGGAGGCAGCATGACTCGCCCAACCATTGTAATATGACTATATACTCACGGGATTTCTAAACATTCGCTGTTCCTATTTATGTGTTGGTCGTTGACAGAGAGCGAGTTCTACCAGGAACTCATCCCCCGATTAGAATCCACAACAATTTGCACTTGAGGCTGCATCCGTGACGATGAAGGTCGACTTCTCAACTTGAAAAGTCTGATAGCGCTTGGGCAAGTCCCAAGATGCGGGAAAAACTTCACGTCTTGAGCCGTCCCCGATGTGGTGCTTTGACGGTGGCGTAAGTAGCTGCATTCGTGTTGTAGGAACACTCAGTACATTTGCTTTTTCAGTACGTTTATTTTATCAAACTTACAATGATAAAGAATACAACATTTTACGGTATTCGCGTTGGTGACACATGCCATCATAGCTATCTGCCGTGTGTGGTATTAGATCCGCGTTGCTTCAGTGGCAAACGGCCCCTATCCGAACACCACGTGCTGGTCACTTGCCAGCGCATTGACACGGAACGTGCTGCCTCCTCGGTAACACTATGTGTTCCACATACTCTGCCGATGACCCAGGGTGTCGGCGTTAGGATGGTCCTCCGTACATCGAACAGTCGTCGGCTTTCTGGCAGACGCCAGCGTATCGTTTGTAAGAGCGATGTCTGATTTGAACGTGGCTGTTGTGCCACATTGCTATAACCCTTACCTGCTGAGTCGGGTGGCTTCTGCGTGACGCGATAGGTAGCATGTGTGCTTCGGAATCAAAGCTGCTGAACCACGGAAAAGCCCAAAACATCGCAGCTATGTTTGAGAAGAAATGCGCCGACATCTGATGACCGCGCGCGGATGCTAGGAGCGGGTCAGATCCCGCCCAGTGCTGGCAGATATGCAGCGCAGTGGAGCTATTTCCGCCCTCCGCATACTCTGACTGTGAGCCCGCCGAGAGCAGCGCTGTAGATCCTTGCTGACCTGGGAGGATCGGGCCCTGACGTACGGCGCAACAGCGGCCGTCCGTGACCCCCCCCCCCCCTCCCCCCCTCTTCCGTCGGTGCCGCCGGAAGTCCGCGGGTCTTTCGTCACAATGGCCCGGGGCGTGTTCGGTAGTCGGTCGCGACGTCAGCATGCCCGCCGGCGCGTGCAGGGGCGTGTCCGACGGCGCGTGCAGGGGCGTGTCCGGCGGCGCGTGCAGGCCGGCACGTCACAGCGACCCAGCCACCGCGGGCACGGCGCTGGGCCCGTTGGGCAGCTGGGCCCGGGTACCGTCTTGAGAGGTGGGTGGCTCATTCCGCATGTTGCGCAGCGTCGCGATGTCGCACGCCGACCGACCTCTTGTTCCGACCGACGACGGTAAAACTCTTGCTGGGAGCGAGATTCGAACCCGGCTCTCGACTCGGCTCACCGCTGCTGGGCCGGAGTACTCTCCATTGAGCAATACCGCTACAAGTGTAGTATCAGTGCGGGCCCGTCGGGCAAGAACGGACGCAAGCTGGAATTTCAAATTCAAATTCAAATTCAAATTCGTCCCTCAAATTCCTCTCCGATGCAGCGTTTGCTTCGAGGAGTGGAAGTGTGAGCAGGCGCATATGCTCGCTACAACGCTACAAGGCCGTGACGTCAGCGCTTGGTCGGCTATTTGGCGTAATCGCTTTCCGTCACTCCCTGGCCAGGACGAAAGTCGCAGGCTGGTCATCGTCTGTAACATAGAAAACAGGCGCGGGACCAGGACTCGGAACTTATTGTCTGACGTATGGTGCTGGATGTTGTGAGCATGCACGGCCCCAATGGAGCTGCTTTGGAATGATAGCCAGCCGTTGCTCTGTTGTCTGACTAACAGCCATGCTCGAAGGAACGTATGGCAGCTTGATGTCTTGCCGACATCCTCACGTTTATTGCTTTTCGAAAGGTATGTGCAGCTGGATTGTATGTCTGTCTAGGGTCGGTGCGCCGCTGTACCGCCCCCTCTGGGGCGCGTTTCTGCGTTCTCAAACAGCGGTGCACCAACAATTTGAGGACGGGACAGGTGGGGGGGGGGGGGGGGGGGGGGACGGGGGAGGAGGGCATGTGGGCTGCCAGGACGGGTCGGCCGGTGTGAGTCGACAGGACAGCGTTACGGTGGTCATTTAACAGCGTAATTGGACTCTCGAAGATAATTCGAATTATGTCGACGGCGCGGCAGGGACACTACCCAATGCTCTTGTTGGACGTAACTAGTCCTGATGTTTCGCTAGAGTATGCCTTTGAAACATGCCCCACGGGTGGGACACGGCCTCAGATTACCGCAGTACCGGCGCCCAGCGCTCGACACGACTCTGACCGTGCTCGCCCAGGTCGGTAATCAGCTCTTAGAGGCAGCGGGAATAAATATGTTGCGGGTCAGGGGCGTCAGTGCTGTAGCCAGAAGGGTATGTTTGCAGTTCAGTGTATACAATCCGCTTTCACCAGCGGTCTGTCCCCACCGCGCCGTTGCCGCCGCCCTGGTCTGTCCCGGGTGTGGTCCGTGTCGATGGGGTCCTGCTAGTCTGCCTCTGTGTTGTCCTGTGTCATTTGCCTGTCCCCGTTCGTACCAGTGTGCTCCCACCTGTCTGCAACTGTGTCTCCCTGCCTCAGTGACCTGTCCCCTCCGTCCCAGGTTGTTCCCACCAGTCTGCCTCGGTGTCGTCCCCTCTCAGCAGCCTGTACCCTCCGTCCTAGGGTGTATCCACCAGTCTGCCTCTGTGTCGTCCTGCGTCAGCAGCCCGTCCCTCGCGCCACCCTGTCTCATGGTACTCCCTAAAGCCTGCCTCAGTGTCGCCCTGCCTGAGCGGCCTGTCCCCTCCGTCCCAGGGTGTACTCTCCAGTCCGCCTCTGTGTCGTCCCCCCTCAGCAGCCTGTCCCCCCCCCGTCCCAGGGTTTTCCCAGCAATCTACCTCTGTGTCTCCCTGTCTCAGCAGCCGTCCCCGTCCGTTGCAGGGTGTTCTTGCCGAGGCGCGCCAGCAGCGAGCGGTACGATGACCTGGCGGACGAGAGGCGCGGCACCAACCTGCTGCTCCGAGCCGACGCACAGTTCGCTGACGTCCAGGTGCGGCCAGGCTCCGGCCCGTGCGGAGTTGGGGTCCGGTCTGTGCGGGGTCAGGGTCCGGCGGCGCACGTCCCCGGTCAGGGTCCGCACTATACGGGGAAGGCTCTGATCTGTGCTGGGTCAGGGTCCAGTCTGTGCAGGCTGAGACTGCGGTCTGTGCGGGGGCGGACTTAAGTCCGTTTGTGTTCAGAGTCCGATCTATGCGGGATCACGCTCCGGTCCGTGCGGGTCCAGGCAGCTGTCCGCGGGTCAGGGTCCGGTGGCGCATGTCGTCTGCCAGAGTCGGACCTGGGGACCGGGGACGGCTGCGTGGCTCAGGCCGGAGCTCAGTCCGAGTGGCTCCGGTCGCGGTCTGCGGCTCTCGGTTTCCGCACGGTGGCTCGGAAACCCGTAAGATCAGTGATTGGGGATTGGGGTCAGACCTCAGGGCAACGACCGGGGTCAGCGGCCACGAACACAGACCCGGTGCCTGGGAGATCGGGATTCCTGCCTGGCTGGGGCAGGAATCCAAGGGGGGAGTCCTGCTGCTGGCTGGGACACTACGAACGGCGCGCAGCTAGTAGCTCAGGGATTCAGAGCAAGAGCACGCCGCCCAGCAATGCAGGCCCGACACCGCTGGCAATGTGGTGTGACAGCCCGCCGGCAGGCCTAAGTCGGGCACGGCCGGATGTTTACGGGGGGGGGGGGGGGATGGGACAGGGGCTGATGTCGGTGTCAGGTGGCTGGAGACAGCCCGGTCTCCCGGTACGTCACGTGACTGGGCGCCCTGTGACGTTCATCAGGCAGCGGGTATTTTGGCCGTTTGTTGGCATCATAAGCCCAGTCGAATCAGACCGAGGGGGCAATAATGACCAGCAAGTGAGCAAATGGAGTTGGCCTCGGAGGCTGTTCTCCTTATTGTTATGCAGACTTTCATTGCGTTATGGAGCTCGCTCTGGCGAATTGTTCGCTTCGACCTGCAGACCCACCACCGGCGGCAGTCGCATTGAAATGTCATATGATGGTAGTTAGTATACACTAGTATTTAGTGTGACGCATTGGAATGGCGACGATCAGTTGTGCGTTTCAGCGCACAGCGATGGTCGTAGTCATAACGATGTACGCAGGATAGTGCTCCCATCAAGGCCCCGTCGAGGCAAGTTGACCCTGTCCTTCACGAAGACACGAAGCCCTATTGGCAAGCGTGGGTATTTATTCGCGTGAAAAAGCCAGCTCAGCACGGGTCCGACCACACGTCCGCTTCAGCGCCGGCTGTCCCCTGTACACAGCCGGCGGCTGCCTGTGCCGCCGCCGTCCCCTCGTGCTGACGCGAGGAGGTGACCCGCTGGCGTCGGTGGGTGCAGTGGAGCGGACGCCGCGCGGCGCGCGCGGCAGGAAGTGGCCCTCGTGACCCCGCGCGCATTCTGCTCGGCCGGCCACCTGCAACAATGACGACGTGATGCCGTCACGGCCGTGGCCGCGGCGCCGTGCTGGTCTGCGTACGCCGCGACCTTGCCCGCGCTCATTCACTACCGCCGGCTCATAATGCCCGCCGGCTCATAATGCCCGTGCGTCGGAGTTCGTGCTGCCTCCGCTAGGGGCGCTCGCCGCGCCGGTTCGGCCAGGCAAGGTGGCGCCGCTGACGGCTGTTGGCTCCGGCGGTGGGTGGGGCTCTGTCGCCGGCAGCGTTGTCTCGCACGCGTTCGCCGTGCGTTGGGCCGGCGCGATCCTCTCAGCGGTCGATAGCATGACTGCCAGTTCAACGTCACGTCGATCGCCGTCCGGCGTTGGCGTTAGACATCGGCACCGTCGCTTGACCGTCCTGCGGTGTGGAGCTGAGAAGCTCCCGCGGCCCACCTCCGTTCTTTGTAGTCAGGCGCGGGCGATGAACTTCGCCTGTCATCCCCGCGTACTTCACGCGCGTGATCATATACGTCGCGACTGGAACGGAGGGCGCTGTGTGATATTGCTCCGGCCCGTCTGCTGTTCGTCCGCTCACTGTCCGCCATCCTGTCCGCTGCCTTGTCTGGTGTACTGTCTACTGCTTGACCAGCTGTCCTGTCTTCTATCCTATGCGCTCCTCTCTTCACTGCCCGGTTGAATGCCCCGTCTGCTGTCCTACCCGCCCTTCCGTTAACTGTCGTGCCAGCTGTCCTGTCTGGGCTACTGTCCGCCCTGGCCCCCGCCGGGCTCCGGACAGCCGGCCGGGGCGGCTGTACAGCTCGGCTCTGTCCAGGAGCTGACGGCAGCGCGGCAGAGGCTGCCGAACTGGGTGCCGGGGTGCGCGCGCGTCATCAGGTGCGCGAGCGGCAGGCTGGCCAGGCGCACGCCGAGCGTGGTGGCGCCCCCTGCCGCCGCCGCCGCCCGGTTCAGCCGGCAGAGCGCGGCCGCGCTGCAGGCGGTGTCGTCGGGCCGGTGCAGCAGCTCCAGCAGGCGGGGCAGGTACGCTGACGCCGGCGGGACCGCCGCCGGCTCAGCCTGCCGCCGCCGCCGCCGCCCGCCGCCCGCCGCTGCCTGTGCCAGCGCGAAGGCAAGGAGCGCGCCGAGCGCTGCGAACCCGGCCGCCGCGCCTGCCAGACCCTCGAAGCAGCTGCACTGCTGAGTAGCCGCCGCCGCCGCCGAAGGTGCGCGGCGCCCTCTCCGCCTGCTGCACCTCCTGGCGCGCGTGCCAGGCGCACACGGCCTCGACGGCGGCGGCGGCCCGGCGCGGCCCGGCCCGATCCACGGCGGAGCCGGGCAGCGAGCGGCCGCCGCCCTGTGCCTGCAGCAGCAGGAAGAGGCCGATGGCGGCCAGTGCCGCGCCGCCGGCCAGCAGCGCCAGCAGGTCGTACTGCGAGCAGTCGCAGGCGCTGTAGCTCTGGTGATGGTAGCCGGCGGCGGAGGCGAGGTCGGCGCCGTACTCAGCGCCGGAGAAGCGCGGGGAGGCGGACAGAAGGCCGGCAGAGGACATGGTGACGAAGCTGGGTCAGGAGCACCGGCCGATGCCGACGACAGCGACGACGCTGGCGTCACAGCTGGTCCAGCTGACCGTTGTGCCGGTGTTGACGCCGGTGGCGATGCTGACGATTCTGCAGGCAGTGAGCTCCGGAGTCTGGACGCGCAGACGCCGTGCGCCAGAAGCGTCACAGCCCACCCGGACGCAGCGTGGCCGGACCTCTGGTCGCTGTCCCCGCGAGCGCGAGTCCGCCGTGGTCGAGCCGCCGCTCTGTCCGTGTACGGCCACACCTCCAGCCGGTCTGAGTCGGTGATACGGCGGCGGCCCACGTCATCGCGTCCGGCCGTGACCGCCCCGTGCCGCCCGACAAGCGCTCGTGGCGCGGGCGGCGGCCGCGTGTCACGCGTGTCACGTGTCGGAGAGGCGCCGCCGGTCAGCCTGGCCGCCGGACGGCGCACGCACGAGCGCGCGTCGTGCCGGTGCCGGTCCCGGCGGCAGCGGTCGGCTCCGTGCGCCGCGGCTCCTCACGTGAGCGCCGTGGCTTACTGTCAGGCCACTGCCGTGACCCGCCTCTGTCACGATGTGAGGCCGGAGGGTCAGGTGGGGTCCTGGCGTAACGGTGAACTCGTCGAACGGATACCGAGGGATGTGTGTACCACACGAGACCCTCTTCTTCAGACTGCGTGTACCACGCTGCTAGGACGGAATCGGGAGTGTCCATGGCTTGAAGCATCAAGCGGTCGTTAGAGACGTCTGGTTAGCGGGAGTATGGTTGTGTTCCGACGCAAGGTGCGCATCACACGTGTGTCAGGATTTTCACTCTGACAGACATTGATTTATTTTGCCTGTCATTTGAAAAATGTCCCGCTGACTCAGCTGGTGGGGGTGCCTGCCTTCCGTTCCACCCACGCGAGGTGGGGTGGGTTCAAGCTGCTTTATTCGCTCGCTATTTGGCCTTGACTGTATGGCCTGCGGCGGCTGGCACGGCTGCGCTGAAGGCTGGATGACGTCAGAGGACGGATCGGGCCGGGCCGAGCGTCGCGACACGTTTGACTAGCCACCAAGCTCTGTCGTTGACCTGAAGATGCGCGATCAGATGGCAGGGGCTTAGGGCTTGCACTGAACGAGCTGCTTAACGTAACCTCAGATTCCAGACATCCATCCGTTCAAAAGGTTCGGTTTGCATCTGTGAGAAAACGAAGCAAAAAATGATTGAGCATCTAATAACTCCGTTCTTCTGCCGTGGCACTGTCGTTTGGCGCACGCACCCGCTAGATTTGCACACGCCGACGTATCTGAACCTGCTGTTCTCCAGCGCGCTACCTGAGGCCTGGGAGGCTAGGATGGCATGGGTTGCACGGCCTTGAGAGCGGTCAGGCGCTGGCGGCGTCACTGCCTGGTGAGGCCGGGAACACTCAACAGTGGCAGATTGTCGCCATTCTCAGGATAATTTCAAGGCATGCTCTGTAACTCATCCCGCCAGCTGGAGTCTGTTCCGGGACAGCGCAAATTGCTTCAGACATCGTGGCAGAAGGCCTGTCAGCAATGGGGAGCTGTCGCGGAAACGATGTGGTTAGCGTAGGGGAAAATCAGGCGATTGATCAATTTTAACGAATTAAACGTAGGCATCGTGCCCGTTGCCTTCCACGTTTGGCCGCTCATGGCTCTAGATATGCTGGAAAATCTGGTCCTGAAAAAACTGGAGTAGCGTAAGTAAACCTTCCCCCCCCCCCCGCTCCCCCCGAGGACAAAGAAGTGACGATTATCAAGTGGATGATCACTGGCCGTGAAAACTGACGCGTCAGCGATGTCGACGTGCTCCTCAGCCCTGATAAGATCGTTGAAGAAATGATAGCTAAGACAAAATGTCTTTAAATTTGTCCCCGTGTGACGTGACGGTACACGTGAGCGCTCTCGTTGTTTAGTAAGGTGGTGGAGAGCTCGTGTATCCGCGGCACTGGACTATGCTGGCCCGGTCTACGACAGTGCCTTGGCGTCCTCGAAAGAGGCTTTCGATGCTGTTCACCTTGGAGAAGTTGCCCAGCGTTCGATAACCTAGCTCCGTGGCGATAAATCATTCCGCAACTTGAATTAGGCCTTCGTTAAACTAAACAAGTAGCATTCCTGTGCCGGAGATTGTCAGCGCGGCAGAAGAGCGGGTCTTGCCTTACCACAGATCAGTGAAGATCTTTGGTGACGGTTCGAAAGGTCCCGCCGGCACTGGCTGTGCGTTCGCTTGCGGAGACGTGGAGCAAGGTTTCTGTTGACTAGGGCACCTAAAAGCATTCTTCACTGATGTTTTCGCGATGTTAACGGCTTGGCAGAATATCGAATGCCGCACGGAGCGTGACTGTCCGGGTTTTAGCTCACTCGCTCAGTACTATTTTGTCACGGGACCCAATATCAGCAAGTCGTGACTGTTGTGAGCACGCCCAGCCGGCCCGGCGGCACAGCATGCCGCCCCTGCCGTGTCGCGGCGCGGCCTCGGTCGCACGGTGGAATGCGGCCGGTGGGACCTACCGTCGCGGGCGCTGAACGCCGTCCCGTTGCGGACCGTACGGAGCGCGCGATAGGTGCGTGTATGCAAGCTGACTTATGAGTGGTAGTTCACCGGAACTAAATGTTGTGTCGTGCCTGCTTGAGATAGCAGGGGCAGGACGCCACTGGACTCGGTCCAATACAGGTAGCCGCGTCGCCGCACGTCTCTCTCTGACAGAGCTGAGCCGAACCGCTGGACGAAGACATCACAAAGACTTCTCATACCCGGTACAATCAGTTTAGGAAGAACTTTGTCGTTTACACAACCGAAACATTTAAAATGTTTTCAAATGGATCCTTAGCCAGGTCGGAGCTTTGGGCAATGAGGGAGCGGGCGCTGCAGCGGGAGCAGCAGCGTGTGGAGAGCGGCCCCCTCCCGTCAGTCTGCCGGCGGCGGCCCGAGGACAGCAGTTACGAGATATATTCATGATAAGTGGCAAAATGATTCCGATGTAAAAGGTCGCCCATTCAAGACAAAACGAAAAACGGTGTGAGATCGGGGAGGGGCCCGACCGCCGTTACCGGTCGGTGTGTGTATGGGGGGGGGGGGGGGGGCAAGGGGAAGCGGCCTTCCGCCGTAGCGTCACGGCTCGCTGGGGTCGTGAGCCGACTGACCGCCTTCACGCCGCCGTGACCGGCCGTGACCGCCCGTGACCGGGCGTGACCACTCGTGACCGCCCGTGACCGCCCGTGACCGCCCGTGACCGGCCGGGCAGAGGAGCTGCGCACGCTGCCGCCCTCTCCGGCAGACTTAGTGTGTGTGGTCGGCAGACAGCCGACGTCGGCCTTTGCGGCTTCCAGCAGTGTGGTGCGCCAGGCGAAAAGGACCTGCTGTGTGAAAACGTGCTGCATTACCGCCTGAAATAGTTTCGGACTTGGAGACCAGTGTTTGTTGGAGACAAAAGCAGTTTTTCGTTTCCGAGATGTTTGGCTTTCGTGAACAGAGCTACCTTAGTTGCGCGGAGCAGTCTACATCCGGCATTCCGAATAAAGGAATTGGTTTTGGAATGTGTAAATAAGGGGAATCCGCTTTTGGTTTCAAGTGCAACTTTGTCGAGAAATTTGATGGCATCATTGAATTGTGCTCGAATGGAATCTTTGTCTAGTGTGTTGCGGTATGTTGAAGCCAGCTTTTAACGGTAGCAAAGACGCGACCGAAAATTAATTATGATACGAAAATAAGCATTTAGTAGTATTGCGTTTGTCAATGTGAAAATAATTACAGCTTAAATTAGTCATACTTTGGTGAGTTGCTTGGTTTCTTTGGTAATGAGTAAGGCTAAATTAGGTTTCAAGTCGCCAGGATTTTGAGGGGAAGCGTGCCAAACCTGTATGATGCACGGACAGCTTTGCTTCAAGACCCCCACCGCACCGAGACCCTCGTAATGCTCCAATTTCTGCGTCACTCCGAACCCTTTATATTTAACAGTTATTTACGGCATACTTGCACCAAGTATGCCGGAAATGCCAAGCTTGCACCAAGTATGCCGTTAAGTTTGGTGTGGCCAAGTTGTGAAATAGGTTTGTGCCTTTAAGGACAGCAAATTTCATTCCACTGGTATGCTCCATAATCCATTGGTGTGGATTGAGTGACCGTGAGTACGCTGTATGATTATGTTCGACCGCATCTGGCGTCAGGTAGCAAATGTGATGTGTGACGGGATTTTTCGACAATCGCCGTCTCGTTCGCAGAAAAGCCTGGTCGGCCCTGTCATCCCGTCGCACGGCTTCTCCAGCTTCAAGTTCATTCCGGGCACGGACGACCGCTGGCTCGTGGCGCTGAAGTCGGAGGAGGACAGCGTCGCCAACCGGACAAACTCGTACATTACAGTTTTCTCCGTTGACGGAGAGGTGGCGCTACCGGAGACGCCGCTCGACGGACACATGAAGTTCGAGGGCATCGAATTTGTTTGACCCCGGAGTGCAGCGTCGTAAACTATTTAAATCGCTTGCTTCGGGTGTCACACACGCTAGGCGACACTCCAGTGCACCAGTGCACTTCCAGTGTGCGGTCGCTATTGGGTGTCTCGCTGTGCCAGTCCAAGGTGCAAGGCACGTCGCGGTGCGCCTCTCCCCGGGAGGCAGGCCGTGAACGCAGCGGCCTTTGGTATGCTTCAGTGTGATGCGTGCTTCGCGGGAGGCGAGCCACTCTGGTGCAGCTCCAGCGCGACGGTGCCTGGTGGACCGAGTGAGGGTAGCGGCAGGCGGAAGGGACCCGCCGCGTACCGCTGGGGGTTTTGTGACCAGGAGGGGGGGGGGGGGGGGGGGGCGAGGGCGGGGGCGGGGGCGGGGGAGTCGGCGGTGAGGTGTTCACAAGGCTCACTATGGCGGAATGATGTGGTGTCGCGTGCCCATGTGCTCTGGGCAACACGTCCGTCTGGGACGGCAGTGCGAGGTCAGTGTGTCACATCTGCTGCGTGGCATCGCTGTGCTCACCCCATGCACCAAGCTGGAGTAAGTGGTGGAGCTGCATTTATACTTATCATTCTAAGCACTTGTCTCAAGATATGCGGCTGTGAAAATTATTTTGGTTCTAACAGCTAAGCATTTGTTCGGGTAACAACTAGCACGTAATTGTCTGCTCATTTGAGTAATTTCCTATATTATGCTAGGCAAGTAGACCAAGCATGATCAACTCGCTACATGCAATTCAAACTTTATCCATTTATTTTACATGCGCATCTACTATGGTCAGTTCGCATACATCGCCTGCTCTTGTTGGCTGTTTGCATCGCCCGCGGGCTGTGGATTTGCCAGTTCATATCGTCGCGTGCCCCTGATAGCTCTTGCGGCCTGCACTCAAATGGTGATGTCACTCGAGTTTATCGCGCTCTGTGATTGGCCGCATAGGCTCGCGATCAGCCGTTGATTGGTGGAGCGGCAGTGCGCTGGCGTCATGTCCGCTTTGAACTGGTCTGGACCACAATGTGTATATGTGTGTATTTCATCAGATTTGTGTGAGTGCGGTTTCGCGGAAATTTTCGTCAGAGGGATTGAGACGCGTGAAAGATTGGTAAAAGAATATGTGGAACGATGCAAACATGACAACCCTGCTCAAACCTGACGCGTACGCGCGCACGCACGCACGCACGCACGCACGCACGCACGCACGCACGCTACGCACGCACGCACGCACGTCTCTGCCTGACCTATGTATTGTCTGGCCTTCACGGCCAGACCACAAGTGAGCCGGCATTCGTTGACAGTGACAGTGTTATGTTGCTAGGAAAAAGAGAACATTTTAAGTACACAGGCGGTCAGTTTTCACACCTGTGGTTACACAATGGTGTAGGCTGACGTTACACCATTCAGAGGAAACTCGGCTCATCGTGAGGTCTATTTATAAATAGCCGCTGCCGTCCGAAATGCGTGCTGGTTGCAGCCGCTGGCAGTGAGTTTTCTCAGGGTTTAGTCAGAGGAGTGTTTCCACAAGCGCCGTAGGCGACATGTGAAACTCCTGAGCAGTGCGTAGCCATCGAAGAGTGTAACACTAATGATACACCTGAAGGACCTCTGGCTGGTTGGATGCGAGCGACCGGCGTATGTTGAGGTCTGGCTCTGTCGCTAATAAGAAATCGACGTGGAGGTTGGTTCTGAAGTGGCACTGATCTGCACAGGCCGCCGGCCGCAGTGTAAACTGTGCGGGAAGTGTAAACTGTGGCGGCAGTGTAAACTGTGCGGGAAGTGTAAACTGTGGCGGCGGTGAAAACTGTGCGGGAAGTGTAAACTGTGGCGGCAGTGTAAACTGTGCGGGAAGGGCAGCTGCACCGGCCTGGGCTAACAACCGTGCATGATACACATGGATAACAGAGGGCGGGACGGACAGCAAGCGATGTGCATGCGGGGCTCATGGCCCCCACCAGCTGGGCTCATCACTCCAACCAGCGAGATGGTCGGCGCCGGATAATGATAATAGATCACAGTCAGTTATAACCACGAGCGAAGTCCTGATGCTTCGGTGTTACGAATACACCTATTCAGATTTATTTTTTATTAAGATATAAATGAAACGGCAACGTTGGTAAAATATGAGTATTTCAGTTGCATCACCGTACTCGCATTGTGGAAACACAGGGCAATAACCTGCGAAGTGGAGGGAATGTAAAATATCCGACACAGAGCGCTGCAAAGACCCAGCCATTGTAAGCCTCATCATTAGCTACACGGAAATCCACCGTCACTCATCAGCGACGAGGAGGACCCGTTAACACACACCGTCACGCGTTAATCGAGACCGCTGCTTCCCGTTGGTTACGCCGCGAGCGAGTGTAGAAACAAACATGTACAGGATGAAGACAGCACACAGATCACCGCATCGACTGGGGCGGGCAGTGGCAGCAACCCTTCCAGAGACGTGCAGAGTACTGGCCAACGTTTCGAACCCGAAGGCACAATTCAGGCTACCACAAGAGAACTTCCTGAGGAGTCCAATGGAATGCTTAGATCTCGGCGCCTTCTGGAGCTACTAGGACGGAGGCGTGTTGTACATGGGCGTCGCGCGCCTAGACTTCTGCAGCCACACACTCGCGGTACAGCGAGTTCATCTCACTGCTGGCGGCTAATGTAAGGCATCACGTTGAAAAAGCGTCGCATGGCTGGGTCCGATTGCGATCTCTGCTATGGGATCGTTACTTATCACCTCGGGACGCAAATGGAGGCTTAGATTTGCTGGGCTCAGTCAAATCCTCTCACATACGAATTCAGACTCCTTCCAGTCAGTCTCATGCACGGGCATTGCATATAAATATGCAGGAATGTAAAAACAGCCAATCACAATGGACCTGGCCATCAACGCGAAACAAGTTCAAGTGTTCCAGGTACTTCCGCACGGGGCAACAAAGTCATCAAATACCCCCGACTCTCTGTCTTGCCGCAGCTGCTGACTGGTGTCCTGGGAGTGCCACGCGGCTGCCGCCTCCCGGCCGACGGCGGAGGGGGGGGGGGGGGAGCTTCGCTGACCCAGCGCTGTTTCCGGCACGCCGGGGCTGCACGGAGTCCCCCCCCCCCGCGCGGTGCAAGCCCCCAGACGGCACGGATCAGGAGCCGGTGGCACCAGCGCCGCCGCCGGCTCTAGAAGTAGCTGAAGAGTGCCGACTGCGCCTCGTACAGCATGCCCTGCGGCAGCACGGGAGAGTCGTGCAGCAGGTCGGCCGACACTGGCGCCATCTCTGGCAGCGGCAGCACACCGCCGCCGCCGAGCGCAGCCGTCGCGGCGCTGGGGTCGACGAACGCGGCGCCCGCCGGGGGCCGGTCCGCCTGTGGCCCCTTCCAGACGTCGTCCCAGCCGGCGGCGCAGACGGGCTGGCACTGGCCCGGTGCCGGCTGCACAGCGGGCTCCGCCGGGGCCACCGGCGCCGGCGCGGCCGCGGGGCTCTTCTGCGCCACCGCCGCCGCCGCGTAGCTGAGGTTGGCGGCGCCGAGCCGGCGGGTCTCAGCCGTGTGCTTGTTGAGGTAGTGGCGCTTCAGCTTCTGCTTGTCCTTGTACGGCGTGGCGCAGAACTGACAGCGGAACGGCGCCTCGCCCGTGTGCACGCGCAGGTGGCGCAGCCACACAGAGCGCGTGATGAACTGGCGGCCGCACACCTGTCAGAAAAGGGTGCAACGAGCCGTTAGTGACCCGCACGAGCAACTGCTTCGTTTGCTCGCTACTGCTGGACTGCATATTGCAGTCAGTTGTTACGGCAACTCGCTCTGGCATGTGGTAGAGTCAGCCAAATGGCCTTGCACAGTGTATGCCTGCCTGAGCGATACAGACGACCTGTTTGGTAAAAAAGAAAGCAAGGGTTGGCACATGGTCGTCACCGTACGCACGTAGCCCCATCAGCTTCAGACAAACCCTAGCAACACCACCAGTTATCTACTAGTCACACTGCTAGCATCCTAATTCCTTCATCTCGAGATACAGGGGCACCATCAAAGTGGCCCACGAGCCGGCGGGCTTCTAGAGATGGCGCCACCAGTCGATGAGGGCAGGGACTGGATGACGGGATAGCGGCCCACCATTGGCCCATGCTTACATGAGACGCCACAGGCGTGACGTCACATATCAACATCACTGCGAGAGAAGCGCCCCGCCTTCGTGGCGTCGCCGCCGCGGCCGGACCCGCCCCGCCGGCGCCCGCGTACCGCCCAGCTCCGCACCCCAGACGCGGCGCGCGGCCGGCCAGCTCACCTCGCACTGGAAGGGCCGCTCGCCGCTGTGCTGGCGGCGCGTGTGGAAGCGCAGCGCCGTGCTCGAGGCGTACGTCACGCCGCACTCCTCGCACATGTACGCGCGCGCCGCCTGGTGGCTGCGCACGTGCCGGCGCAGGCTGCGCGGGCACGCGAACGCCTTGTCGCAGTGCGGGCAGGCGGCGGGCGGCAGCGCCGGGTGCGCCGCCCTCTGGTGGCGCAGCGCGCCGGCCCGGCTGAAGAAGCCGGCCCCGCACGTGGGGCACAGGTAGGGGCGGGTGTCCGTGTGCCGGTGCCGGTGGCGCGCCAGCTCGTGGGGGAAGAAGAAGCTCTGCGCGCACAGCTCACAGCGGTGGCGGCGGTCGCCGGCGTGGCGGCGGCGGTGCGTGGCCAGGTCGCTCGACTTGGCGAAGGCGCGCGAGCACAGCGGGCAGGTGAACGGCCGCTCGCCTGAGTGCTGCCGCTGGTGGACGCGCAGGTAGCCGGCGCTCACCGTCTTGCCGCAGACGGGGCAGGGCAGGCGGCGCGGCCGCGGCGAGGTCGCGGCCTCAGCGGCCCGCACCGGTTCCGGCTCCGGTTCCGGTTCTGGCTCTGGCTCTGGCTCTGACTCCAGCTCCGGCTCATGCTCCGGCTCATGCTCATGCTCATCCTCCGGCTCCAATTCCGCCTCCGGCCGCGGTTCATGCTCCGGCTCCAGCTCCGGCTCTGGCTCCGGGTCATGCTCCAGCTCTGCCTCCTGCTTGGACGTCAGCAGCAGCGGCGGCGGCGGCGGCTCGGAGCCCGAAGGAGGGGTGCCGGCGGCGGGCTCCGCCGGCTGGTCGCCGAGGCGCTGGCTGGACGCCGCGACGGCCGCTGGCTCCTGGGCGAGGAGCGACGCCGGCCTGCGCACAGACAGGGCACCCTTACTGCATGGGAAAAAGATCAGGGCATTGCAAAACCCAGAAGGCACCGGGCAGCAGCGAGGAAGACACAGTTCAGATGGGCTGGTGAAAAACGAAAGCCAGTGTGTTTCTACACGACACAAACATAAAACATGCTTGAGTTGTTTAAATGTTTAAAAACCTCAGATGGCAGTCAACAACCATCCACTAGCATTACGCCTATCACCACCATGCAGCGCCCAGCATTGTCTGACCTGTAAACCCTAAGCACGGCTCTCTTGAGCTGTTCGAGCCGCGCCTGCAGCACCGACGCCTCGGTCAGCAGCTGGCCGCAGGGCCGACAGAGGAGGCCGACCGGCGCACAGGCCGACGGCGCCGGCTCCAGCAGTGAGGTCAGCACATGCAGCAGCGCACTCTGAGTGAGGCAGAGACCGCATAAGCACAGTCAGAAGAGGGTAGGGGGTGGGGGGCATGGCTCAGAAGCACATCCTGGACAGGGTAGACAGCTGATGGGGAGTCACCAGTGGGGGAGGGGGGGGGGGGCATCTTGCAACAGGACCCAACAGAAAAACACTGCAACAGACAGACATGGTAAACATGGCTCTGGCAGGAAACACTTGGTGGGAGAAGGGCACAGTGATACCTGCTATGCATGAGAATAATACCAAAATTGTTTTGAATCAACTTGGTATCTTTGGTGCCTAGAAAATATAAGTTGAGTTTGCACCAGACAAAATCTTTCCTCAAATCCACCCATGCCTGTATGTGGTTTCACAATCAATGCAATGTAATTAATTAACTTACATTTTCTGCAGCCCCAGGGCTGTTTACTGCTGTTCCACAGACAGCACACGGTTCTGGGGAATTCATATGTGCACTGGTGCTGCTTTCCTGTGAAATCATGAGAATGTCAGTCAGAGAATCATTGTACTGTATCACAGAAAATAAAATGATTATCATACTATCATGATCACAGTATTGGTCAGCTCCTCCAGGAGACATTTTTGCTTGCACCATCAGAAAAAAGTTGTCGTTCAGAGCCATTGCCAAAATTTCACATGCTGAGGCCTGTCAGCAAGTAGCCTGGCTGACTTGCAAGGACCTGGGTTGGGACGTGTTCTAGAAAATCAGCTTGAATTCCCTCTGGTGTGTCAAACCAAGTCCACAGACATGGTTTGGTAGAATCTGGTCCATTGCCTTTGAAACCATTCATGCCATGACATTGAAGAGGTACTGTAAGTCCACAGTATACTGCACCATATGAAGATAGCTACATCACATGACGACACACATCGCATACAACACATTATATAGACAACTACATCATACACTGACAAAGATCACATACAAATTGCACCACACACTGGCAGCCACAGATCATTGGGTGTGACATGTGACATCACAAAAACATGAAGACTTAAACAGATCAGAACTAGAAAGATCAAACTTTGTGAACATGGACCCAGCATGACTATCTTGAGAACCAAAGCTTTATTACATCAAATTAGAGCTTGTCAAGCTGCACCAGTATAAATTAGGGTTACCTAAAATACATGAAACCAAAACATTTACACGTAGCAACATACCTTTAATCATGCACTCATCTAACATATTTGACACAGCTGACCTTGGATGACCTGACTTATCAGCACTCTCTGTAATCAGTAATTGTTTACAATGGTACCTGATGCTGCAACATTTAGGTGTTCATCTTCTGACATTTTTCAGAGATCAGGTACCATACATAACCACAAGCAGGAATATTTTGGGAACATCTTGTCATCTTACCTTCAAGATGTATTATGATGACGGCGGCACTCCCCGCCCGCCGTCGGTCCGCAGCCTCCGCGGCGAGTCAACCAGCGATTGCCTTTTCAAGGTGGAGTTTTTGCGTCCTGTTCGTCGATTGGTTGACATAGTGGCTAAATATGACGTCCCAGTATAAATTTGATCGGAAATGGTGCAGTGTGCCCGAGCAAGCCAACAGATGGTCCCCGACAGGAGCGTAGGGCTCTCCATTCAAATAAAAGGACTCAAAATCCAGTGTGGGGGGCTCCCGAAATATCGTGTGCTCAACATACAGATGGGGCCCGACAAAAGCTAAGGACTCTCCATTCAAATAATAAATCCCCACGACGCTGTGTGGAGGGACCCCAAATAGCTAGACGCATTCGAGCAGGTTGACAGAAAGGACCCCTGACAAGAGTGTGGGACTCTCCATTCCCAGTGAAAGTACCCAAGACCTAATTTAACGGGCCCCGAACAACAGAGGATGCCCAAATGGGTTAACAGATGGGCCCCGGCAGGAGCAGTAGGGCCTTAGGCAACTGGAAGTGAATTGGAAGGGCCCCAAATCACTGAAGAGGGCCATGAGCATATCGTGTGTCGTTAGGTTTATCTAGACCAACGTGAAGGGCCCCTGAGCAACCGAGAATACCCCGGCAGGTTAACACAAGGGGCCCCGACTAGAGCGTATGTAGGGTCTTTCGGGCGTATGGAAAGAATCTGTGGAAGGCCACTGATTGACGAGAGTGCCCCGGCACGCTAGCAGGGGTCCCCAGCATTGGCGCAAGGCCCTTCAAGCGTAAAGAAATCAAGGACAGCGTAGGAGGCTCCTTAAGGATTGGACTCACCCTGCAAGTGGACACAATAAGGCCCCCGGAAACAGCGCAAGGCCTTTTTGACAGCGTGATGGGCCTTAAACTTCCCAAACATCACCCTCTCAGCCACTGAAGAATAACTTGTGTCTTCTTGTGGGCCCCTCACTTTTGCTCGCGGCTGTTCTTGGTCGCCTGGAAGCCCAAAGACATCCAATTTTGTTGCGTTTTGCGTAGAAGCTGCGTCTGTTCGGCCGGCTATGGCTCCCCCGTGCCCAGGGGAGGGGGGGGGGGGAGCATGGCCCTTGCCCCTCCTTTTGAATGTGCCCCTGACGTGCTACCTTATGGAATTATCACACGCGCTATTATCCATGTAAACAACTATCGACAATCAAAGATTCAGAATAAGCGTCTTTTGATAAATACTGGTGACTTCCTGATGCCGCAAATGGCCTGGCATCCCTAAAAAGAGACTTCCCATGCCAGACAAGGGCTTTCTAATGCATAGAGAAACCTTTTGGTTCAGAACAGGATCCTTCCGCTTCACAAAAGGAGTCACCAAACACAGCAAAGGATCTCATTATCCTAATGCTGGGGATTCTGAACCGAAAATATGCGGTTATCTGATACATGGACCCATAACCAGGCGGGTACACTGGGTGCCCGTGCATCCCCTGGGGTGTGGGGTCACGCGACCTTATTCTGTGCGGTCTCTGTACGTACGGCATTACACAGGGGCTTCACGAGGATTGGATGTCACCCTTCCCCGTGTTGACGTCTGTAACGATCGTAACGGAAAAATGCGGAAGTCAACGCTTGACTCACGCTTAGCTTGTGACTAATTGCAAACCCTGTATCATTTGTCGCACTTGGATGTTGAGGGATCGCCTGAGTGTTTTTGTGCTGACAGAGGTTTTCATTCCAACACAAAATATTTTCAAATTTCCCTGGGGATCAGGCGATATTGGTGCAGTTGTATCGCAAGTAGCAGCGATAAAATGTTCCGCGCTTTGCACACATGTTAGGATAATGATCGACATTTACATCAACTTACGATGTCTGGGGATGTTCGGTAATGCTGTACAACGAAAGTCATGGGAACGAAGCCGGCTTCAGTTTCGGCTATGCCAAGCCGCAATTTTCACTGAAAGGCTTCGGGTTTGGTTTCTACTTGCACCTTGCTTTACGACTAGCTTTGGCTTAGTGTCATTTTTAACACCCGGCTTCCACTTCAGCTTCGAACAATGTTTGAATGATGGGCATGGCTTAAAACCCAACCTCCCCTGCCTGCGCCCCAGCTAACGTCGGGCCCCGCACGATTTTAACCTGCTGACTTCAGCTTCGTTATGTTCAATTTTTCACTGCAAGTGCGACTTTACCTCACACAATAAACATACGTACTCGTGCCGCCAATCCAATGCTCTTACCATACAACTTTCCAGGGCCGTAACACATGATGTCCGGACAAAAAAGGCGTTTTCCGCAGTTTTTCGAACGCCTTTTTGTCGACCCCTATATGGCGACTTCTATGTTAGTAAAATGCAAAAAGTCGACGTGCCAAAAAGTAGAATCGGCTAAACGGCGAACTGTAAGATGGAGACATTGAAGAATGACGCCAGGCCAAAATGACGAACTGCGTAATGGCGAATTGCAAAGTGGAGATACACCAAAAACATTGATGTGCTTAAATGGCGAGCGGCCAAATGATGAATTGCGAAATGACGACGTGTAAAAAGCCTGGGTGTCAAAGTGGAGAACGGCTAAATAGCGAACTGCTCAATAGTCATGCTTAGATAAGCAATGATGCCAAAATGGCAGGATGCTAAACGCCGACATGAAAACGACTAGCTCAAGTGAAGGGCGCAAGCACTGCGCGTTTCATGTCAACATGGAATACAGAGGTCCTATGACCGCTGCATCCAGTATCACTCTCCTTACCGACGACAAAAGGCGCCCATTCCTTTCGTGCTGCAGGGACGTAATAAAAAGATAGATAAAAAAGATAGATACAAAAGATAGATAAAAAGATACTTGAAAATGGCAGGCGTAAAATGGATTAATGGCAATATGACCTCGCTCCGGCTAGCCGTTTTTCACAACGTAGACTGAAGGGGGGGGGGGGGTCGATCCGAACCCCCTTGCTGTTTTCACACTAAGAGAGATGGAGCTAAACAGAAACATACGTGGACTGGTATCAGCGATATCTTACGGTTGTTTATCAGTCGCATAATACTAGGTGATACTAGGTGGAAAATTGGCTCCATTTATTGTTCAAACATCACATTTTTCCGAAAATGAAACTTTTAGCCTTGTATGCTCAAATGCACGGATCTATGCCTCTTAGCGACTCTGCACCTTAAAACATTTATTTCTAGTTCACTTTTGACTACCATGGTGTATCACTTTGTGTGTTTTGAACATGCAGCTATGCTGTAGTGCTCTGTTAACGTAACAATGTCGGTCCGCCGCGCGTGTTCCGCGGCACCGTCAGTTGCCGCCCACCGCCCGCGCCGGCCGTAGATCGCCGTGCAGTGTTCCTCAAAAACCGCTGCTGCTCCAAAAGCAGAAAAGCTAGTGACAAGTTTTAAGCTTCAAAACACGTGTAATAAACGCTTTCTGGGTTACTGAAGATTTAGGCGCGATTACACGACATACCGGATAGCTATCTCCCCCCCAAAAACCTTAGGAAGTCGCACCAATCCCTCCCCGTATCAGGCGGAGGGTTAATACGCGTGGAAAAATTCGCGCGTTTCGTAGCACTTAAGTCACAGTAGTTAAAACGTGAACTGTTACAAGTCTGGCGATTTCGTCGGTGCGAGAAACCGCGTTCAAGAAATTTCAATTTGCTGTACAGCTGTGAGTTTTTGCCTGTACCCCGCACAGTGCATATAAGCGTGCAGAGTTGTGGCTGCGCATTTGGCAGCCTAATGCAGCTGAAACACGAGCATGTATGGCCGTACACCAGATTTTTGGTACTGCCACACATATCCGTTCATGTGTTAAGGTGCTTATGGGCTATTGAGCCCAGCACATTAATGTGTCAGTTGCCTCGCGTACCGTACGCTACGCGTAGGGTACGCCAATCAATCAGTCGTCAATCGGCCAATCGCCAATCAATCAGCGGCCAATCGCGCACGGTACGCTAATCAATCAGTGGCCAATCGGCTGGCAAAAATGGCGGTCAGTGACTCGCCAGTTATCTCGCATATCGTATGATACAAACAGAGCAATTTAAGCAGGGGTCGCCAAGTTTGAGACGCAGTAAAATGCAATGAACGTATCTCGAGACCGCTAGGAAAATATTGTGAAGACCAGATTTTTGGGCTTGCCGAATGCCACTGAACGTCTTAAAAATTCGCCGCTACTAAAAACATACATTTTAGGCGCTCCACCCGTGTGAAAACACGCTCCGTAGATGCCCCAAAGGCTGACGAAAATTTAGGTGCGATTGCACGGCATACCGGGAAGATACCCTGAAGAAACCGTCGGGGACACATCGCCCTTGCCCCTCTATCAGGGCGGGGGCTAGGCTGGGGTTTTAGGGTAACTGCCACCACACCAAATCGCATGGTATATTAGCAAAGCATCAGCAAGCTGCATACATATGATCCCTTGCTGACTTGGTTCCAGAATGCTAATATTGGCGAGTGGCACAAATTTTGCTGGCTTTTTTGTGTTAAAGAGCCTCCGTCGGACTGCGAGAGCATTACCAACCCAAAGCGTCAGAGGGGAACGAAAAAGAGACGTGTGACAGGGCTGAGAGTCGCATTCCACTTCTCATGCAGTCTCACACGGCGTTCGCGACAGGGCTGAGAGTCGCATTCCACTTCTCATGCAGTCTCACACGGCGTTCGTGACAGGGCTGAGAGTCGCATTCCACTTCTCATGCAGTCTCACACGGCGTTCGTGACAGGGCTGAGAGTCGCATTCCACTTCTCATGCAGTCTCACACGGCGTTCGTGGCAGGGCTGAGAGTCGCATTCCACTTCTCATGCAGTCTCACACGGCGTTCGTGGCAGGGCTGAGAGTGCATTCCACTTCTCATGCAGTCTCACACGGCGTTCGTGGCAGGGCTGAGAGTCGCATTCCACTTCTCATGCAGTCTCACACGGCGTTCGTGGCAGGGCTGAGAGTCGCATTCCACTTCTCATGCAGTCTCACACGGCGTTCGTGGCAGGGCTGAGAGTTGCATTCCACGTCTCATGCAGTCTCACACGGCGTTCGTGGCAGGGCTGAGAGTTGCATTCCAGGTCTCATG